ATTGTCTTGTGCGAGCATGCCGAGAACTTGAGAAAGCGCAGACGGCGTCGGCTGCAGACTCGCAAGAAGAACGGCAGCTGACAGTGCTGCGTAATATTCGCTACACATGCATACGCTGCCTCGACCTCATCTTTGCGATGTCTCTCGAGTTTGACTGGTCGTCTTACGTTCGCATCATTTTCGACGAGGTGATCAATTCAAGACTGGAAGACTTCGCCATTGAAACCGCTCAAGGTGTATCCGGTCTCCTCAAGCTCTTCCATACCTGGGCTACCTCCCCGAAATCGTCATTCTATCTCACCAAATTCAACGATGTCCTGTTGACGAAGGTGGTGGATATCCTTGGTGTCGACTCCGCACGAGATGAAGTCAAGGCTTTCGTCATGGATGAGGTCTTGAATCCCTTGATTGGGCTGGCCACCGGAAAGACGCTTCAGGATAACGAGACCATGAGTGATATTCCTGCGGAAGAAATTAGGTCCCAGGTTTTGGGTCCTTATATTGAGCATATTCTGTCTCATTTGGCTCAGCTCCTCAAACGTGGCCCCTCTCGTACTTTGCTCGTCTCGGGTGTTCAGACTCTTTCCCTCATCTCGCCTTGCGTCGAATCTTCGAAGGAGACATACAGCCTCATCAGCATCACGACCTATCTTCTCCGCCAACCCCCCGACAGAGTCTCCCCTAAAACAAAATCCGGCCTCCTGCGCTCCCTGGAGCATTTCCTACCCTTATTCAACACCCAGGAGGATCTTGAGCTCACCAAGGCCGTTTTTGAGGCTATCTCGTCCCTTTTCGATTACTTCCGGGATGATGCGAACAGAGAGGTTCTGTCCAGAGTCTTCACGGCGTTTGCCACCCACGACTCTGATCTTACCAAGGTTGCTAGTCTCTGTGAAGACTTGAACTCTATCTCTAGAAAGAAGCTGGAAGTCGACTACGAACGCCGACTGCAAGCTTTCAGAGAAATCAACGACAATTTGTGGGATAAGCTTGACGCTAAGCAGTGGCGCCCGCTGCTCTACAACGTGTTGTATCAAGTCAAAGACGAGGAAGAACTCGCGATCCGAACGAGTGCTGCTTTCGGCCTGAAGCGATTCATGGAGCGAGCCATTCTTCCCAATGGCAAGGACGAAATGGAAGTGCTTGTATCGGATATCTTGTTCCCTGCTTTGCAGGCCGGTGTTCGCCAGAAGTCAGAGCTTATCCGCGCCGAATTTGTGGCTGCGCTCGGGTACTTCATCAAGCTGAACCCTGAACGCCCAACCGTGAAAGACATGCATGTCTTGCTTGTGGGTGACGATGAAGAAGCCTCGTTCTTCAACAATGTCCTGCACATCCAACAACATCGTCGTCTGCGTGCACTGCGCCGTTTGGCAGGCGAAGCAGCCAAGGGTAATCTCCAGGCGTCCAACATTAGCACCATCTTCATTCCTCTCAATGAACACTTTGTTTTTGACGAAGAGGTCGATGAGGCGGCTCACAACTTGACCGCCGAGGCTGTGAATACCATTGGCACTCTGGCAGAATCATTGGAGTGGCCCCAGTTCCGTGCCATCTTCCGGAGATATCGCGGCTACATGCAAAGCAAGTCGGAATTGGAGAAGAGCATTTTGAGACTTCTTGGTAAGATGTCTGACTCGTTGACCAACGCCATGAAACAGCATAAAGCTATCAAGGATGTTGCTCAGAGTGGGATGGACGGTCTTGAGACGTCAGAGCCGACCTCTACTCTCGCACGAACCATCCCCTCAGCTGCAAAGGTTGCGAACGAGCTTACTTCTAATTTCATCCCCCAGTTGACCAACTTCATTCACCACAAGGATGAGGCGCAGATGAGTCTACGTTTGCCAGCTGCGGTCACGACCATCAAGCTTTTGAAGTTGCTGCCTGAGGAAGATATGGCCATCCGTTTGCCCCCAATTCTTTTGGATGTTTGCAGCATTCTCAAGAGTAAGGCTCAGGATTCACGAGACACTGCTAGGAAGACACTCAATGAGATTGCGCTCCTGCTGGGTCCTAGTTACCTCAGATACATCCTGAAGGAATTGCGCACCACTTTAACCAAGGGCTATCAGCGTCACGTGCTCTCCTTCACTGTTCACTCTATACTCGTCGGTACGACGGACGTGTTCAAGCAGGGCGATCTGGACGATTGCTTGACTGAACTGGGCTCTATCATCATGGACGACACGTTTGGCGCTGTGGGCCAGGAGAAGGAAGCAGAAGAGTATGTGAGTAAGATGACCGAAGTCAAGAGCAGCAAGAGCTACGATTCGATGGAGCTCCTAGCAAAGAATGCTACTGTTCCCAACCTTGCCAGGCTCCTCCGACCTCTGCAATCGCTTCTTCTGGAGAAGCTCAACTCCAATATTGTCAGGAAAGTCGACGAGCTACTGCGCCGAATTGGCGTGGGTCTTCTGAGGAACCCTGGAGTCGAAAGTCGCGATATCCTGATGTTCTGCTACGAAATTATCAAGGAGACGTACAAAGGACCCACCCAAGCGGAGAACAAGACTGTCAAATCGGCACAGGAAGAAAATCTGTTGATCGACCTCAAATTCCACAAGCGAAGCGACAAGAAAGGAAGCACGACTTCTTATCTTTACAAGTTGACGCGCTTCTCTCTCGATGTCCTGCGTACTGTCTTGAATAAGTACAATTCCTTGCTCACGCCCGGAAACCTGGCTGGGTTTATTCCTGTCATCGGCGACTCACTTGTCCAGGCACATGAGGAAGTCAAGACATCAGCTCTCCGCTTGTTGTCGACAATCATCAAGCTTCCGATTCCGGAAATTGATGCCAACCATCATGTGTATATCACAGAAGCTGTCAAGGTCGTTAAGGAGGCACCGAGCACCAATACGGAGGCTGCGCAAGCGTCCTTGAAACTGATTACGGCCATGCTGCGAGAACGGAAAAGCACCAAGATCAGGGACGGTCACCTTGCCTATCTCCTCCAACGTCTCATCTCAGATATTGAGGAGCCTGACCGTCAAGGTATAGCCTTCAACTTCGTCCGTGCAGTGATGTCTCGCAAGTTTGTGGTGCCTGAAATGTATGAACTGGCCGATAGCATCGCTACCATGATGGTCACCAACCAGACCCGCGCCGCTCGTGATTTAGCACGGGGCACGTACGTCCACTTCTTGATTGAGTACCCGCAAGCCAAGAACAGATGGACCAAACAGCTTAGTTTCTTGGCCAAGAACCTGGAATATAAGCACCAAGAAGGGCGCCAATCAGTCATGGAGGCCATTCACTTGTTGCTGTCTAAGACGGGCGATGAGCTGGCTCAAGACATTGTCAGCACGTTTTTCCTGCCCATTGTCATTGTGATGTCGAATGACGATGCGCCTGAGTGCAGGGAGATGGCTGGTCACCTACTGGGCGAGTTGTACTCCCGGGCCGATAGGGAACAGATGAAGACTATGCTTACGCCTCTACACTCGTGGCTGGAACAGACGGAAAACATGCTCTTGAACAGCACTGGCCTACAGGCCATGAGAATCTTCTTCGAAGTCGAGGCGACGGAGAAAGACAAGGAGGCTCGATTCGTTCTGGATATCTTGCCGTCCATCATGCAGCCAGTCCTCAAAGCCGACGATAATGAGAATTGGCAGACCCTGTACTTCGCTCTTCAGCTTTTCTCGAAGCTCTGCAAGACGGTCCCCGCTATGGCGCTTTCCCCGGAGCGTGCGCCGATCTGGGCGGCCGTCCGCGAGAGTCTCTTCTACACCCACGCCTGGGTCAAGACCTGCGCCTCAAATCTGGTTGGCACATGGTTCGCGGATCTGGCACGCTTCAACGCCACCAATGGCTACGCGTCAATCCCGCTGGCTGGTTCCACGGGGTTGTCCCTCGACAAAGATGCTATGTTGCAGCTGATCCGTGCCAGCTTGCGCTGTCTCCACACCCCGGCAGTCAGCGAGGAGCTTGCCATGCAATCCGTTCGCAACCTTATCTTCCTGGGTCGCTGCTGCGCTCATAACGGGCTGGAGTTCACGCGGTCGGGTGGCAAGGACGCAGAGTCGGACGCTAGTGACAGCGAGCACGAAGATGACGAGGAGGGAGCCCAGCAGGAGTCCTCCCCCAAGTCGAAGCCTGCCATTCGGTATATCTTCGAGCAGACGTCTTCCATTCTCCGCCGAGAACTCATCACCACACGGGCGGAGTCCTTGGTTCCCAAGACCGCTGCCATCGGTCTTCTCGCTTCGCTGTGCCGCCATCTCGAGGTTGACCAGCTCAGCGGATCTCTCGCGGTCATCCTGCTCCCTCTCCAGCACATGACGGACAACACCATCCCGGCGCCCCGCTCCTCGGACGAGGCGTTCCGCGAGTTGTACAAATCCCTGGTGGCCAACTGCCACGAAGTGCTCGATATTCTGCAGAAGAAGCTCGGTACCACCGAGTTCGTGAAGCAGATGGGCGAAGTCCAGGACGCAATCAAGGAGCGCCGTGAAGGCAGACGCGTTAAGCGACGCATCGAGGCGGTCGCCGAACCCGAGAGATACGAGAAGGACAAGAGGAGGAGGAACGACCGCAAGCGCGAGAAGCGCAAGGAACGAGGAGCCGAGCACCGTGGCAAGAGACGTGGTTGGTAAGAGGGGTGGGTGATTTGTTCTGCGAATTGTTTCCTTTTTCTCATCTTCTGGAGCTGTCATATAAAAAGTCCACGGCGTTGACGGAGAGGATAGGAGATTTCGTTCTAGTATATTATATTACATGATTTTCTTTTTCTTCTTCACTTCCATTATTGTCAGAGTCCAGCCCTAAGTAAATATGTAGAGCAGAGTGTCATTACACCTGAACCTCCCCTAAGATTTTATCCACAGAAGCAAGTAGCCAACCAAAAAAACGTCCATGACAGACAAGGATCCAAAACGCCTCTAGCACCACGCTTTGCGGAATACCTCCAGCAGAATTTCACAACCCCGGTTTTTTTTTCTGCTTTCATTCGAATCATACAGCACAACCTCAGCCCGGAAAAATCAAGCAATCCGACCCTGCGCCTGCCCAGCCTCACCCTTGTTCTTTCCATCCGCAGCCTCCGCCTCCTTCACCTCCCCATTCTCCCAGAACTCCATATCCCCATTGGTGTACCCGCGCATCAGCTTGTCCCCCTGGCGCGCCAGGATATCCTCGAGGGTGCTCTTCTCGTCGAAGAAGATGTTTAGGTGGTCGGCGATGACGTGCCGATTGCTGCAGGTGGGGCACTGGATCAGCACGGTGCCGCGGTGGTAGCCGTGCTTGGACATGCGGTGCGACGACCGCCCGCCGCACGGCTTGCAGGTGAAGGTGATCTGGTAGGCGGGCTCCTGCTCGCGGCGGAGGCGGTTCTGCTCCGCGTGCGCCGCGTCGGTGGCGGCCGTGGAGTGGCGGTCGGTGAGGGTGTTGGTGTTGCTCTCCTCGGTGGTAGCGGGGGTGGGGGTAGGATCGGGTTGGCTGGTGGTGGTGGATTTGTGGCGCGCGGAGAGGAGTTCAGTGGTTTTAGTTGTGGTTCTTGGGATTTTTGTGGTTGTGAGTGGGGAGGGAGGAGTGAGGTGGGTGAATGTGCGCGATGATGCTGATGCTGATATGGATGAAAATGAGGATGCGGGTGTGAGAAAAGTGGCGCTGGCGCTGACGCTGGCGCTGGCGTTGGAGATGGTTGCTGCGCGGGAGAGGGAGCGCTGGGTGAGGGCGCGAAGGCCGTGGGAGAGGGATTGAATTGAGCGCATTGTTGTATGTTTGGTTCTAGGAGGTTTTAGAAGGGAGGTGGTGTAGATCAAGTGAAGGACAATCGAAGAAAAAAAGATTGGAGTGAATAACCTCCTAGTTGTAGAAAGCGAGAGAATGACGGAGTTTCCGCGCCGCGGAGTTTACATCGGAGATAAGTTCTTCCAGGCCCTCGGCGGGTCTCGGTTTCCCCTGCTCGTTACTTTACTTTACTTGACTTACTTTACTAGTGGACAATACTATCAATCCATTCTCATATCTCATTCCCCTCGAGCTTAAGTTGCTCGGAAATCACCTTGATGTGTTAACTTGCTTTGACTATACCCTTGTTCTTGTCCAGCGCTTGCTTGGGCATCTGGATAATCCCCTCTCGCCACTCTCGCTAGCTACTTTTCTCCGTTCCCTTAAGGCACTGCACTCACTCTGTCCCCTCTCGGAATCTTATCCAAATCTTATCCACGCCGGAGCTTTGCCCCGCGCATGCCAACGCCCGAGTATACAACGTCAGTAAAATTGAGATGGCCATGAGAGCACGACAGCGGATTCGCGCTCCGCGGAGGGTGAGTTTACATGTTTTTGATTATTATTTTCCTCTTGATTATCTCTGTCGTCTATTATCTCATGTCAAGAGTTATCTCTCGCGCGGCACAAGTGATCAGTAGCAGGTGGCGATCAACGACCGACTCCGCGGCCACAACCGTCAATCCCCAGCTATACCCACCCGACCTCTTCGCTGACTGGAAGAAATATAGGGCCTCACAGCGAACAAAGGCGACGATTTTGAGACGAATTGGGCCGATCTCTCGACCTCGTTGAAGAAGATCCACACCAAAGACGCCTCCAACCTCTCTTTCGAGCAACTGTATCGTAACTCCTATAACATCGTCTTGATGATGCGCGGGGAGGATCTCTACGAACGGATCAAGAAACTGGAACAAGACTGGCTCGAAGACGAGGTCAAGACCCGGGTGACGGCGGCAATCTCGTCCAGCCTGCTGCTCGCGAAGGAGCTTGCGGAGGTCCAAGATCAGGCCAATGAGCGTCGGGAGGCCGGGGAGAGGTTTCTGGCCGCCATGAGGGAGGCCTTTGAAGACCATCAGCTGTGCATGGGTATGATTACGGACGTGCTCATGTATATGGTATGTTCCAACCATTGAGATAGGACGGAAGGCTCGACTATCGGTGGCTGACCTTTCTGGGCTCTAGGATCGAGTCATGTCGACTGACCACCGCAAGCCGTCGATTTACGCGGCAGCAATGGCACTATTCCGAGACCATGTATTACGGTCGCCCATCCGATCGGATGCCAAGACGACGGTAGTGGATGTGCTCGAGTCGACCATCCTTTTCATGATCCAGCTCGAACGGTCCGGGCAGATCATCGACCGCCCATTGATCCGCCATTGCGTCACCATGCTGGAAGGACTATACGAGACAATCACCGAGGAGGAGTCGTCGAAGCTCTACCTGACCATATTCGAGCCGGCGTTCCTGGACGCAAGCAAAAGGTTCTACCAGGCGGAAGGACGACGCTTGCTGGAGACGGGCGATGCCGCGACATTCTGTAAGGTTGCCACAGACCGCCTCGCCGAAGAGACGGAGCGGTGCATCTACACCCTCGCATCATCCACCGCGCCGAAGATCAAGGAGGTTCTGGATCGAGAACTGATCGAGAATAATATCGCGGAGGTGGTCAATCTGGAAGGCACGGGGGTCCGGCAGATGCTCGACAATGATCGCCTGGATAGCTTGCGAAGTATCTATGTGCTGAGCGCACGAGTCGATCCGAAGAAGACCCCTCTCACAACGGCGGTCCAGAAGCGCATCGTTGAATTGGGCAAGGAGATCAATGCTGGGGCAGTTGAATTGGCACAAACACCGGCAGAGCCTAAGAAATCGGCAGACAAAGGCGAAAAGGCAAAGAAGCCGGCCGAGAAGGAGAAACCGGTCAACCAGCAGACGGCTGCCGCTATCAAATGGGTGGACGACATTCTGGGTCTGAAGAAGAAGTTCGATAACATCTGGGAGGACTCGTTCCAATCGGACCATGTCATGCAGAGTGCGATTACTACCAGTTTTTCGGAATTCATCAACTCGGAATCGCGCAGCTCGGAGTACCTGTCTCTGTTCTTCGATGAGAATCTGAAGAAGGGCATCAAGGGGAAAACAGAAACAGAGGTTGACTCGTTGCTGGACAACGGCATCACGCTGCTTCGCTATGTCAAAGACAAAGACATGTTCGAGGCGTACTACAAGAAACATCTTTCCCGCCGTCTGCTCATGAAGCGTTCGGTAAGTATGGACGCGGAGCGGCAGATGATCTCGAAGATGAAACTGGAGGTTGGAAATCAGTTCACACAGCGCTTGGAAGCGATGTTCAAGGACATGACGATCTCGGAGGATCTGACGGCCAGCTACAAAGAGCACGCCAAGAAGACTGGTGACCCCAACACGAAGCGCATCGACCTGGACATCAACGTCCTCACTAGCACTATGTGGCCCATGGAGATCATGGCCAACGCCACCCGTGATAACGTGCAACTGGGCTGCATCTACCCGAAAGAAGTAGAGAGCGTCAAACAGAGCTTCGAGCAGTATTACTTGGGCAAACACAGCGGTCGCAAGCTCTCATGGCAGCCCACCATGGGCACTGCGGATATCCGTCTAGAGTTCCCGCGATCGAACGGCAAGATTCAAAGGCACGAGCTCAACGTTTCCACATACGCCATGGTCATCTTGCTCTTGTTTAACGATGTGCCTACTGGCGAATTCTTGACCTACACCGATATCAAAGAGCGCACGCGGATTTCCGACCATGACCTCATTCGCAACCTACAAGCACTTGCGGTGGCGCAGAAGACCCGGGTCCTGCGCAAAGAGCCGATGAGCAGAGATGTCAAACCCACGGACAAGTTCTTCTTTAACAACGACTTCCAGAGCCCATTCTTGAAGGTCCGCATCGGCGTCGTGAGCGGCAGTGCCAACAAGGTCGAGAGTCAGGATCAGCGGAAGGAGACGGAGAAGAAGATGAGCGAAGAGCGTGGCGCCAGCATCGAGGCCGCTATTGTGCGGATCATGAAGTAAGTTTTCACTGCATCTCATGTCATTATTCCATAAAGGTGGTGCTAATCTTTTGGGACAGGCAACGCAAATCCTTGACCCATTCCAACCTCATGACGGAAGTCCTGAGTCAGCTGTCTGCGCGGTTTGTGCCCGATGTCAACATGATCAAGAAGCGCATCGAGAGCTTGATTGACCGCGAGTATTTGGAGCGTGTTGAGGAAGATCCTCCCACGTACGGATACGTCGCATGATTGGAATGATCTTTGAATGTTGGTTTTTTTCCCCTTCTTTTTGTGGGTTTTAGCTATCGCCATCGAAGCGAATTGAGAGCAGGGAACGAAATGGGTCTTGAGCTTAGCGTTGAGGGCGCAAAGGCGAACCATATAGACTTTTTTCTGTCTTGTTGCATTTCCACCGGCAGGGGGTTCTGCTTTTGTTTAATGCATTTTCTGGGTTTAGTTTGCAGGTTGTAGGCGTGGTGGGATTGAGCCTGAGCCTGAGCCTGAGCCTTAAGAATTGTTCGGTCCAAGAATGGTCAGACATTTGAAGTGAAGTCTGTCACTTGTGCAGTGCAGTATACACTGTCGTATGCAGTAAATGTAGAAGCGATGTATGCAGTAGGTATCATCGGGAAACATAACAACAATCAACGAAAAGAAGCTCGCAACGCCACCATGCACCATGCCCCATGCACATTGGTATACAACCATATCCCGAGCCCAAACCTTGCCAACAGTCCAACATACAAAGAAGCTCATCCTGACCTCCTCCTCCTCCTCCTCCTCCTCCTCCTCCTCCTCCTCCTCCTTGGCCCCATCTCACATCCCAACCCTCAAAACCAAAGAACCTCAGAGACCAAAAACTAAAGAACCTCCACCTCCCCCCTGCCCCACGCATCCCTCACCCCCTCCCACCTTACCGCCCAAACATCCCCCATCCGCATGGCCGTCCCGCCCACCACCACCTCCTCCACCCCATCCCCCGGCGGCACCACCACCCGCACCTCCTCCACCAAACACCGCACAAACACCACCTCCCGCAGCTCCGGCCCCTGCACCATACTCGTCCCGCCGGCATTATCATCCAACCGGCGCAGCTGCGGCGGGAACGACCCCAGGAAAGCGTCCCCGTAGTGCTTGGCCAGGAGGTGCTGATGCGCCACCAGGAATCTCACCTCCGGGGCCGAGAGAGGCGGGTGCGGGGTTTCTTGGCCCACGCTGGGGATGGAGTCTTCCGGGCGGAGGTCGGGTTCTGCCGTTTGGGATTGGGATTGGGTTTGCTGGGTGGTGGGGGGGGAGATGCGGAGGAGGTAGTGCATGCTGTGTTTTGTGAGTTTGGAGAGACGCTGGCGGAGGAGGCTGCGGAGGGTGTATTGGGTGCGGGAGAGGTCGGTTTGGAGGATTGAGAGGGTGAGGTTCAGGGTTGTGTTGGTGGGGGTGGTTTGGAGGTTTGTGGTGGTGCTGGGGAGGGGGTCGGCGGAGGTTGCGGCTAGGTCTTCGATTGTTTCGATCTAGAATTTTGGGATTGTCAATGGGTTTGTGTACTAGTGTACTAGATACAAGGTCAAGTCTGGAGGGGAAGGGGGAGGGATTGTGTGGAAGGCAGAATTACCTGTCGTCGAACGCGGTCCATCATGCGGTCCATCAAGGGCCCCGGCCAGGGAAGCAGCTCCGAGACGCCGCGCTCGGCCACCCAGAACCGCGTCAGCAATTGGTGGTCCAGCGCCGTGGACTCCGGGGTGGTCGGGTCGTGGCGGTCCACGGAGGCGAGAATGTCGTCGATATCCATTGCGGTCGGTGCATTGACTCCGCCGAGAGTGGTTGGGCTTTGGCTGAGTCGGTAACCTAGTTGTGAGCAGGAGCAAAAGAAAGAGAGGAGCGGAGCGGAGGCGGCATCTCCGAGTCAAAGAGATCACCGCCCCGCTTGTGGATGCCTCAGGCTTTAGTTCCACCCTAGTATAAAGCCCCGACTGAACACCTGGGTCCTCAGGTATCTACTCTCTCTATCTACTCCGTACTACTCAAAACCCATGTAGAAGTAATTCGTTTCTTCATTCCAACAAAGGAAATCTGTCTCTAATCTTTAACTCCCCCCTCCATTAATAGCCGGGCCAATAGCCGACCAACGCTTCATCTATGTACAGCTGCACTGGCAGCCTGGGTCAATCACTTATTAGTCTGACTCTGAATGCTTCATCCAGATCAAGTCAGCGCCGTGTCGACGAGGCTGCCGCGCACAACAAAAATTATCGTCTGGCAAGACGAAGCCGTACATCGATATATACTTCGTACGGCGAGCAGTGTGACACTCCCTCGGGATTGTACAGGGAACCGGGAGGATAATTAAAGACGGTAAAGGAAAATAGGAAAAAGTCTTCGAAAAGGAAATTGCCGGACGGCGAGGTATCATCGGGGGAGGAAAGTCCCTCGGATGCAGATAAGATTCATCCTGAGGGGGCCTCGTTCAAAACAAACAAAGGAAAAGGTCCGAAGGGAGTGATCGGTGAGAGGGATGTCGGTTCAAATAAGTCGTGATTGGGAGGTATGCTGTGTCGTGTTCGAGGGTGAAATCATCATTTCAGGTATGAGAACGAACCGAGTAAGAAAGGTCGAAGCTTGGGATGTCATCAAAAGTGCCGAATCAATTCTTTCTTCACCACATCATCCCAAGGAAATAGGAAAGAAACCGAGAATCAAAATGAGCGGAACGGGCTGGTCAGGCGAGACGCTGCCTTTCCCAAGGTCCAATGCGTCTCCCTCCAAAGCCCAAGGATGCAAACCCTTTTGCGCCAAAACTCGCAAATGCACTCGTTCAGCCAATTGACCTGCACTGGCCATTTTTAGGAAACGCTGAAGGGCAGAAGGAAAGAGCCGGGTGCAAAAGAACGGCCATCAGGTGGTCGCAGCGTGGCTTGTTCCAAGTCGGTCATAACATCATTGCGTGGTGCACCACGGTGCACTGCACCAAGGTTTCGTAACTTTAGTAAGAGAGCATCCGACGGCCGGAGAGTCGACTCGATGCGGGGCTTTCGGCAAACGGGGATCCCAAAAATCGGTTTCGCTCCCCAGGACCATTGCGACACCGCCCGGTCGGGCTGTCTTCCATTTGAGGCGAATTCTCCCCGAACGCGAAAGTCTGAGCCCGATTCAACTTGGACCGTTGCTTCACCTTGCCGAGGCCTCGCTCGCAAGCGAATTCGTGCTCCTTGGCAGACATCTCGACATAGTTCTGCGGGTAGCACAACGAGCGGTGCTTCGAGAAGAAGGAACTGTAACCACCGTCTAGGACATACAGGTCGGGGTAGGTCAGTTGCGGGTAGTTGTCCGCGTTGAAAGCGCGATCCTGGTGACGAATGTACTTGGCCATAATCGGGGCGCGATGGGCCGAGTATTCGCAGTGGAGGATCAAGGCCGTCCGCGGCTTGGGTGAGGTGAAGAGCTCGGCGGCCAGGTGGTCCTTGTCGTTGTAGTTGACAGCCCCATTGATATGGCCTCCCTCGTACTCATATTCAAAACGGCAGTCGATAATCATCACGTTGTCAAACCGATCGTTGTATTTCCCATCCAAGAGCTCCACGAGGATGTTTTTGTCGATACGAGGCAATGTATCTGCCTGGTCCTCCGAAAAGACGTGAGGAAGCTGCAGGCTGGGGGATCCTTCAATGTCGATGATCGACGGGAGTGGTGCATTTGTAACTAAAGTTGCCTCTTTTTCGACGACTACATCCTCGGGATGCTCAAACATGCTCAACGAACGTCTACACTGCTTGCGTGGGCGCATCGTGGGGTGTGAATTCTTGCGGACCGACGCCGCGGACGGGGATCCATTTCCCCGCACGTGGCTGTTGCTACTGCCAAATGGTGGTTTGAGACGAGAGCTGCTCAACAGATTGCCGGTCGAGTGGTTCTTCAACGACGGACGTTCTCTTTGGGGTGACTCGCAAAACATATCCTCCAACGATGCAGATGCGCTGAGCGATGTCCTGTTTCCCCGGCTCTGAAACTTGAACGGTGGGGCTTGACTCTCTGGGGCCGGCTTGTTCATTCCTAGTTGGAAGCTCTGTGCTTTGCTCCGTGCTAAAGTCGGCCGTAGAAATGTTGGACGCTTTCTCCTACAGATAACCATGTGATTAGATCCACGCAGGCCTGCAATGACTCCAGTCTTGGGCTGCCTCTCTTACTCTTGTAGACCGTCTTTCGAGTTCACCAACGGTGACTCTTCCAATGGGCTCGGGGCGGCCGAGATCATAGGTGTATCCATTGAAGAATCTAGAGAGGGCGATTCCAGCTCGACTTCGTTGACCAGCCCGAATGCTGGCTTGTGCGGCAAGGGAGACATTTCCATAGCGTCCATCATGGGAGCCGGCGAGGAGGGAAGCGGTGGTGTGGTCATTGACTCTATCGAATCGAAGAAAAAGAATTGTGAGCTAATAGCACATTCTAAACACATGGAGTGAGTATCACTTACCACACCGATTGGCTTTTCCCAGCAGGCTCGAGGAGAACAAAGACCGCCGGGGCGTCGCCAATTGCGGACTATTTTTGGTCAGCGAACCCTTTGTCCATGAACACACACACATGGCCTAACAAAGGCCAACGACATGCGACAAACCTTTGATCAATATGGAAATTCTGAGAGAGGTCGGCCGCAAGACTCGCAGTTGGTGATGAGCCCCGCACAGGTTTCACATTGAAGTAGTCCCCATGTGCCTTCTTCATGGACAGTTCCTTAAAGTTGAAGGTGTTATGCGCCAATCCAGCCATGGGACTGAAGGACGCATAGGCTGTCGAGGCATCGGGACGAAAGCAATGGCCGAACATCACAGACGGCGGCTGCATTGCAGCCAACGGGGACGAGTGTTCCATTGTAGCCGGCCCAGGTTCCTTGTAGTTCTTCCTTGCCGATCATTCACACGCACGGATTGGGTCCAAGTCGATCACTAGTCTAGTCGTCACAACGCGGCGAGTGTCTCTCCCCCTTGTATGCAATGCACGGCAGATGCGGGGACAATGGGAGCCGATCTAGATTGACCACCGCTGAGCTCCTCTTTTTTCCCCTTGGTTTCCCAACTGTCAAAGTGGGAGTTCCAACCTCGGAAATCGTGGTACCGGCTTTGTATGTTGTTTCAGCTAACCAGCCTGTACCCAGACTTCTCTCGCAGACGGGGGACAAGCGTTTAAAGGGACATGGCTGGCTGACGGGAACTAGATCAAGGTGCTTTGGGATAGGATATAGGTTGAAACAGGAAGTAGGCCGGACGGGAGGAAGGGCTAAAGATACGACAGGATCAAGTCAGCAACAGTCGAGAGATCTCAGCCAGTACCAGGGAGGTGGGTGGTGAATGAAGAGGGGGGATTGGCAGCATAGATATGGTACGCTAATGCACTGGGAGGGCAAGGTTACCGAAGGGACGAGGGCTGAAGACGGGATCGGACCTGAAGCATGAGAATGCAATGCAACGGAAGGGCAGAGGCTCTTATGAAGAAGGAAGAGAGCTGTCTGGGGTAGAGAAGGAAGAGAAGGAGAAGAAGAAGAGAAGAAGAAAAAAGACAATGGAGAAAGTGAAGCTGAAGGGATGCCCTTGTTGCAATGGCAACGCAAAAGTGGGGAGGGATCTCCAGATACTCGAGAAAGAGCTTAAGCGACGATGGGTTTAGTGCTTCTTGGGCTGGGTTTGGTTTGGGGCTTTTGGTTGTGTCAGAAACCACTACGGAGGAGTACAGTAAGTAACTGGTAGTACTGGTACCTAGTATAGCAGTTACATAGTAAGGTAGGTTTAGTACTAGTCACTAATCTAGGTAACTAATCTAGGTAACGGACCTAGGTAACGGACCTAGGTCACTAAGGCTAAATGGTCGAACCGGTTTGGGGGTTGGTCGAAGACCAATCCATGATTGAATAGTGAATGAATGAATGAATGAATGACCGCATAAGGCCTCAGGCCTTGGTTCAACGAGGAGTAGTTCCTTTCTTCCCTTTCTTCTCACTTGCTAAGACCTAGACTAAGTTACTAAGTTATCCAATCTATGCTTCCATCCTTTCGATTCTTCCCCTTCTTTCATGAAACTAGTTTTCTAGTCCTTCCAGGTTGCCCTGCTGTGGGGGGGAAACTTCCCCATCCTTCACTATTCCTTTCCCCTGTGCCTTAACTATAGCAATTGACTTCATACTACTGACCTGACACCTGTAGGTACCAGTTCGGGGCAAAAAAGAAGATCCATCCAATAATTCTTTCTGCAATATTTGAATTTCTGCATTTGACATTTTTCCCCTTTCGAATTTTTTGATGAGCAGAAAATTTCTCCATCTGGATCTGGATTTTGCCTACCGGTACGTACAGTTGCTGGGGAATTAGGTTATGTACTCGTACAGTACAGATGTATGTATAGTAAGTAAGAGAGTTCGGTAGGTACCCGTACAGTACCTTCAGTATACTTAGTAGTACTTATTCATCCTCATCCTCGTTGCCGGGACTCCCTTGCCGCCATTATAAACGCTAGCCGCTGCTCAGCAACCCCCCGCCTATCAGCGTCCTTACACTCCCTTTTTCGCTGGTCGATGCATGGATCGTGCCTGTCTCATCACCGAACAGTCGTCCAGAGAGGAAGAGGACAAGAGGGCCCATGTCGGAGACCACACCTCCAAAGACCACACAGAATCGAGGTGTCTCCATCTGTCCCCTCTTGTGGACTTTTCTTTCCTTTTTCTTTCCGCCTTCTTCGCTTCTCATTACTAACACCACTGGGTCGCCCCGGTGGTATTCTCAATTTTTTTCTGACAGGTTTCATCTGTGTAACAGTCGCACTACAATTGCTGTAGAAACCGTTGTCCATGTTTGACATTTGCCCAGTAGTACCAGTAGTACCAGTAGTACCAGCAGCACTATCAGCACTATCAGCACAGCACTAGAACCTAGAACCTGCCGGTCTTCAATCCGACCAGTGACCAGCTGCCTCCTTCGGGGATCATCGGTCATCCTGTCGTCGCACTGGTATGGAGGAGGGTTCTATTCTACTTTTAGCTCGACTCGGTGTCGCTTGCTCGCTTCATTCTCCTGGCATAGGCGATGTCTGTCTATCTCTTTGAAGGAGGCTCTATATCTATCCACTACTAAGGTTTTTTTTAGGACCCAGATACCTCAACGATACAGTTAGTCTACGGAGTCCTTATCCCTTAACTAGTCTCGAAACTCGATTTAGATGAGGGGGCAGAGAGCTTTCTCGTTGACGAACCCACCAGTAAGACGAAATGTGGCCTGAGGATAATTTTTACATTGGATCAATAAATTTTGTTCCCGTGTGTGCCGTTCGAATTTTTTATGGATTTTTTTTTTTTTCTTATATACATCATTCTCATGAACCCCAAAAGAGAAGATCGAATCTAATAAAATTCTCCACCGGGTCCACTCGGTCGGAAAAAAGAGCTTGTCCGGCCGGTATCTTCTCAGGAACGAGTGCCTTCGATTGGAAGCTGTGGAAAACCGAGAACACTGTCATTCATACGTAAGGTGTCGACCGTTTTTTTCCTCTTGACTCTCTCTCTCTGTCCCTTCCTCTCCCTTTCCTTCTTCTTGGCCCTACAATCCAAGATTCAAGTTTCGAACAATTCCATTCATTCCTGCCGGTGGGAACAGGGCAAAGGGCGAATGAAGCCCTGGGGAATCATCTTCCTCTCCAGATTGCTGTCGATCCTGCATACCTACTTAGCCGGACTACTACTTGGTTGCTAACTTGCTACTCTTCGTTAGCTCATTACTGTCGTCCGGTCGGGAAGCCAGAGGAACGGGTTCTATTCCCTATTCGGAAGTTCCTGCCTCAGGAAGAACGTCGGCCGAACATACCAGGCGCTTAATTCTTCCGTGGCTGAACCTGAAGAATAGCTGGTAGCTGGTAGCTTCTACCATCATTTCTCTCCTTGAGTGAGACAGCCACCTTGAACCGATCGCCATTGTAGATTTACTTTGGCAATATTCCTGTCTACCTTGTCGATCTTCCAGGCTCATTACCATCCGCCGATTATCCCCGTTATCTCGGTCATTCTACAATGGGAAGCTGCCCTTCAAGCGAGCTATGTACAGTACTGTCTATGTACTAGGCGAACCGCTTGATCTACCCTATGACTCAACTATCTACGGTACCTTTGCCCGGTTCCTGGTGCACCAGTCGTTCGACGCTTTGATCAATCTTCTGGGCTAACAGAATTTTTCAAGCGATGACGATGGCTGAGTGCCCAGTGGTCGGACGAAAAGTTGTCTAGAAATACCGTGCTCGCCCGCGCACTGTTCGCATGGCGGACCGTTCACCAGACACGCGCCCATACCCTTATTTGTCTCGAGTCTCGACATTCCCCGCCGATCCCGGCCAAGGGTGGTCTTTTTACTTGGGCTGCGAGCATGCGCTGCTCTCGGATTCCCATAATCAGTGGTTTAATCTATCGTCGGCTCGATTTCTCCAGTTGATCTTACAAATCTTATCATTATCGCAGATAATGGGCAAGAATCCCCGAGCCGGGTCAGGCCCCATCTCAGCTGAACGAACTTGAGCTGGTCTGACAGCCCAGCTCTAGCACGCTTGCCTGGTGTGGGGTTAGCCAATTTCCCCCCCAAAGCTGGTGCCGCAAGCTTGCCCATCGTACCCTAGGTTTTGACGACGTCACCGACAGATCTATTTCTTCCTCGGCCGACGGGTCACAACCATGAGAGTCTGGAAATCCGCCATCTCACGGTTATTTCGGCAGAGTGAGAGAGAACTTCTGTCCCATGTTCTCCGCTCTTTTGGGTCTACTTCTCCCGGAGTCAATAAATCGTGCATCAGATCGTCACGATGAGGGCACAGAGGCTAACAGCTGCCCCTCTCTCACACCCTCCCCCCGTGGGCGCTGATATCCGCAATTGCCCAATCAACCCCTCTCAGGATTGCGATTTGATTTTTAGCCTCGAATTGTTACTATTTACACCGCCACAAATGGTGAGATCGGTAAGCTCGTATGCACAGCGATCACACCTGGTGGCCCCCCTCCTGTGGCCTTCTGATCCTTTCCCACGCCCAAGCCCCTCATCTCTGAGACACCGGTCGCCCCCCATGCAAATCCCTTCTCGCATCAGAAGGGTTAGCGTTGGAGCTCATGAGGGTCCAGAATTGAGCCATGTTCTAATCACAATCTCGGTGCTAGGAGGCCTAACCGGACTTGCGGCTCAAGGGTCGGCCTTATCCGCCAGCAGGAGCGCTAGCCCCCAATAATGACTATTATCTTATGCCTCGCGTCGCAACACTGCGGTGCCAATGGTAGGTGTCGGCGGATACGCCAGCCCGTCAATCCGTAAGGTGCCGAGCTCTGGTCGAAAGGTCAGCTCGGCGCCGTGCGGCTGAGTCGTCGATTCGCCGACCAGCCGCGTTGGACATTGCTATGGGCGGAAATTCGCGCGATGGTGAGCCGTGCTAGCAAACTAGTGCTCATACCTCGGATGGGTTGGTGGAGTCGCTGACAAGGATGGCTGACTCGAGACGCTGTGCCGTGGTGTCATGGCCATGTGCGCGTTGTTAGCAGGGTTAGCAGGCAGTTATCTGTCGGGCAGGCCGCCCAGACACCCTGGAGGACCGAGCACCAGCATCGGGCGCACTCAAAAATCACCACAGAATGTAAAGCTACTAGCTCATTCAGCCAGCCAGCCAGCCAGTGAGCAGCCTTGGCGGGTCAGCAGGAATTTGGATTGTATGAAGGAAGCGCTGGTGCGGGGGGGACATTTTGTTCTAGATGGGGACCGATCATGCCCACTGATTGGACCAGCAGTGCAGCCCCTAGTGCTCGTGCTCCAGCGTGACTGTCTGCAACTTTATTTAGCTACGGCGCGTCGCGAGTGAGTGAGTGATGTCGTCGATTGTCTTGCAGTGACGGACTGGTGTGCTCCCAACCGGTTTCGCCAGTCGTGATGTCAGTGAGGGGGAGAAAGTCAGTTCTGTCCCTCACCTGCAGGAGTGGCCGATTGCTTTTCCCCCGCCAATGCCGATGTATGATGTATGTATGTGTTGGCTGGCTGGCCTTAGGAAGTCAGTCGGTCTATGATCTGTATGTATAGCTGCCCCATTGTTTATCCTTCTAGTTCCGCGGTTCGCGTGTTTGGGATGTAAACATAAACATTGAAGGGGGTACAGTGAGCCATGGTACCTTGGAAGTACCCCGACAACTGACTGACACTTGACAGTCAGTGAGTGTCAGTGAGTGACGCGACCGGCGAACGCCCTCCCGTAACAGTTGCCTGAGGTTTCCACTGTTCGCGAGGGATGCTTGGTATGACATCACATTTCCCCAGCCTCCCTTCTTTCCTCTGCTTGTTCCCCCCAATCCAGTCCAGTTTATCCCTCTCTCCCTCCCTCACTCTCCCCCTCTCTCTCTCCCTCTTCTCCTTCGTCCTCACCTTGCTTGTTATCTTTTCCTTGCCGTCCCCATGACATAATACGGCGTACGGTAATAACGACCCCGACGCGTCTATTCCCCACCTTCTCCTATGAAGCTTAATCTCTCGCTTCCAGTCCTAGATGACGATATAGCGTACCTACCTTGAAAGTATCCAACCTTGCGATTCCATCTCCGATACGATCGTGGGAGCGATTGGAGCGATTGATTTGCAAAACACAATTCAAGACCAAACAAAACAAAACAACAATACCGTTCTCTCTAATCAGTCAATCAACAACGTTGACGTACTGTAGTCGCGTCTTTACGGAGTCCAGACTTGTCCGCTTCATTTCTCCGGGTCACTTCTTGGCCGTTGACCACACGCGTGCCCCAAGACCTCATCCCACCATACCCACCCGTTTTAACCGGCTTAGAGTTTGCCACCGGAGCCCGATTCCTCTTCTAGTGCCCGGGCTAAAATGTCCATATGGGTCTCACCAAGTGCCGGTTTTACCGTAGGGCCAGAAAAGCTGCCAGATGTTGGGGGCAAGGCTCCATCACGCTACATACACCCTCACTTCTTCTACTTAGACAAGCTCCAAAAGTGTCGCTTACCTAAAGGGGGAAACCCCTTCCATGCACAGCGGAAGACTAAGGAAAGCTTATGTGAACAAGAGACGATTATGCAGGTGTGCACCTCTCCATCCCTTGTATCCCTTGTTTAGAGATCTACTGGTAAAGCGCTTCTGGATGTTGGCACCACGAGTGTGGGCATGCACAGATCTCTCTCATGTCTGATTTCTTGCTTCCGGGATGCAAATTAATCAAGGTTCCTACTACCAAACAATCAATTGAACTCAATCTGATAGGGAGTTATCGAAGAAGCTTCAACGTTCAATAGCATTGCCACTATTGGGTCTGCAGGGACCCCTCCCCCTGCCCCCCCTTTCTTGCAACCCTCGTGGGACCCCCCAACTTGCTGCTCCTCGCCATAAACAAGCTAAAATAATCTATATGCAAGTCTATCTATCTCCCACTGCCCCTCTTCCCCTCCCCTTTGGTCCACTTCCCATGATTTTCGACTATTGATCTAAGATCTTCGCTGCACCCCATGTCGTGGGGAGAGAGGGGTGGAAGAGGGGAGATACAGATCGGTAGATCGATCAAGATAATCGCCAACGCCACCCGCAAGTCTATTCCCTGTGTTGGCTCACTTCAGTGCAAGCCAACCGATATCGAGGAATGGATTATCCCTCTTCTCCCGAAAGAAAAACTCCGCAAGGGCACGTACCCACCGTATCAATCAATGCACCGCACCTACCCCTTCTTTCCCTCTTGTCGTACAATACCCCTGCAACAATTTTCAAGATAGGGTCTTAAACCCTAAGCTGTAGTAATCAATATATCTGCATGAAATCCTCCGCAGTAAGCCCCAGGTTTCCCACCTGCAGCTTGGGCAGGGGGATGATGCCAGGTACTACATCGACTTGAACATGCATGTAAGCGCTGCAGGTAAGTGTAACCCTTCAGTCTGTTCCTTGCTTGTATTTGCCCTGGTGCTAGCATGTATTCAGCGCGGAGATGCATAATACTTGGGACCATCTGTTTATATGCATGTACAGTATACTTCCATGGTAGTCGAGCGAGGCAAGCATTCAGTCCATCGACTCAGAATGGACAGCACGTCGTTGCTGTCTTCACGGTAGAGTGTACACAAGAAGGGGCCAGTTACCCCTCTCACTATCGTCGAATAGGGCTTATTATTGCAGGTGATGATATTTCGCGAGCTCGAACACACCCCATATTCAGAAAGTGCGGGTTGACATTTGACGATAGATACTTTGACTGAATTAGATACCATTTAGATCCGTGACAATGTGACCCCATAGTCTGAAACCGTCGCTCCTGAAATGCACAAAATACTCCCTCCGTCATAAACTGCATCCATTCCGACCTACAACCTAGGTATCCCCAAGAAAACACCCCCGGAAGCATGCAAAGCAATCAAAGCGATAGCTTCCTTAACCCAGATAGTCCCAAGTAGCTATTATCCTACTGACCGTGCGGAGGTTCAACACACCTCCTACGTAATCTCATATCACATTCAAAAGGACCGACCCGTCAGCCCAAGAATGCCAACCCAGCCAACCGCGTAGCCTCAACGGTACAGTACAGTCAGTACGTTTCGTAGTCCCTCATCTCGCCTACTAGGTCCTTCCATTCCCCATCTACCTGCAATGTACAGAGTAGCCAAGGAAGCAAATGATCCTCGCATTCCATCCCCCCCCCCCTTCCCCTGGACCAAGTACCGAGCAAGCCATTGCCGGTGGTACCTGGACCTGTGCCATACCCCTACGCATCCATCCCTCCCTTGACTGCCTTCGGATAGGCTAGCGCTCCATAAACCCCTGCACTGCACTGGATGAGTGGTCCCGCGTGGCGTTCCGTCATTCATCATTCTTGGGGTGAGGAACAGGGACCCGTGTGTCGATCTGGGACCTTTAAGAAAAGAGGTGGGGTATCTTCGGTAACCTGGATGGATGTAAGTGGTAGGTAAGGAGAATTTCTATTTTGTCTATGGGGGTTCTTCTGGATTCAGTGCTGCCCTGATACGGTGCATTCTTGGAACCTGGGGTGTTCGCGTGTTAGCGGGACTCGAATTTAGGGGTTGGTTCCAGTTAGGCTGAGATTTGGTTGGATGGGTGTTTTGTTGGGGAGGGCTGGTTGAGTATGTGCTGGACTGTAGATAATAGGGGGGGTTAGCTCTGGTGGGACTTGGTGATGGTGGTGGTGGTGAGGGACCGGGTTTTGCTTATAGAGGTTGACTCGATCTTCTTTTTCTTTTCCAAGGAGAGCGAGTGGTGAATTGGAAAGGATTGGTACTGTCTATACATGGATTGCATGTTATAGTGTACTTCGCGGGCATGTTGTTTGGTATACTGTCGTCATGGAACTGTTGAGCGACAGTTCGAGATCGATGTATACCACAGCGCAACTCATTCTTTTGGTGGTTGGGATATGTGGTTAGGATCACTGATGCTCATGTACCTTCTTCTAATCTAAAGTGATTACTTCTGACACACAGAGCAGTGAACTGGTCCTAGATAACGATACTTTCTGCCGTCGCCAAGTTGTTCTTTCATTCCCCTTTGATAACCAGGATATCCTTCTGCATTAATCATATGTGGTGTAGCACTACCTCGCATTGACAGCCTATCCCATCTGTCTCCAGAAACACACTTCCGCATCGCAACACCAGCGTTCCAATCCAGTCTCAAACAAAGCTACATCAGAAGCAGTCCCAGAGTACCTTAGTCCATCGGTTGCCGAGGACAAGCCACAGCTGTGCTGTGATGTGCTGTGCTGTACCTAAAACCGAGCTTGGAAGTAGATCCCGTCCATTCGATCCAGCTGGTCAATGTACACCCCAAACCATCGTGCAAAAGTCCCACCCCTCTCTGTCTAGGTCTTCCTTCTGGGCTGTCGGTCGACTGGTTCTCTGGACTAGGGGAGCTTTGGTTTGGGGTTTAAACTCCCTCTTGCCGCATTGCATGAACACGGTTCGAAGACTCACGGTAATTTAATCGATAGATTGAAGTCCAGTTGAGGGGTGAGTATACATCTAAATAGTCGAGGCTGATTGTATCTTTCCAGGGGTAGAAATGAACCACAATGATTAAATGCAGAGCGTAAGGATACTGGTTTTAGATGTGTCCTGGCCTATGGCATGGACTGAGTAGCTAGCTGGTAGGGTGGCTTCGGCCGTCGGAGGGGTCGTAATTTGTTCTCTCGGGGTGAGGAAGTGCATGAACTGTACATGACTGGTTTGGCAAGTGCAGGGTTCTTATACGTTGTTTTTGTTCAGGCCCTGGTTACATGCAACCATCGCTGCATGCCCATCGTGCTTCATATTGTCTATCCAGTATAATGTTGCGACGCGCTGTTCGCCAAACCACTCCCGCTGGAGGTGAATTGATAGATGAAGAGGATGAGGCTGTCGTCACACACCAGATGCAGATGTATGTGACTGACTATATCAGAGAATATGGACTAGTGGTTACGCGCGTGGTCGCGGTAGTAGACAAGTCAAAGTATGTACCACGATAAAAGATATATAGGATTCTATGGCGGTCTTGAAGAAGTATGAGTCAGTGATCAACCGCTACTGCATATAACGCGCCAACAACAAAGAGATTCAGAAGATGAAGTAGAAGCTTAGATGAACAATCCCAAATCCATCTATCACGCCGCTGCGTCGACCTCAAACAAGTACGAGATATCCAAGGAGTCTGCGCCCCAATCGACCACACCGCACCGAATCTGCTTCTTCTGCTTCCATCGAATGGTGTTTTCCAGGCAAACATCACATCGTTCATGATCCGCCGCTCCGAGGTGAGCAAAATAATCCATCGCCGCCTCATTCTTGCTACAGACCGCATAATGCGCGGGCGGATTGCCTGCGTCATCCAGAAGCCATGGGTTTGCCCCGGCCTCTACCAGCAGCCGTATGCATCGGAAGTTCTCTCCGCGTGCGGCCCAGTGTAGCGCTGTCATCGCCTCCGAGTTGCCAGCGTTGACGTCGAATGATCCCCGCGACAAACCTAGTGCTGTGGCTCCATCTGCTGATGCTCCCGCCGTGTCGTCAGGAACGGGTCTCGGCTCCCCTCTCATAAGAGCTAAAAGCAGTTCCACTATGTCGGCAGCGCCTGTTCCAGCGGCGAAATGTAGATAGCTATTCCCCTCATTGTTGAGTTTGTGCAGAGCATTGCTGGCATGGATCATCTTCTGGATGATTTCGATATACTCTCCCCGGTTGCTGCAATCATTCACCAGACGCAGCATGATATGAATCGGCGTATCGCCGCTTCCGTGCTCTGCGATGTCGACGTCTGCGCCCGCATTGACCAACGAAAGAATTAGTTTATGAAACCTGCGATGCATATATGCCCCACTGGATGCGACGTGGAGGATTGTGCGCTCTGAGTCAAAGGGAGCGGACAGATCCACCGCAGCTCTGCCGGTGCTGACCAGTTCTATGATCCGAGCGACTGCTTGCCATCCAAACTCAGTCGAGAGCCGCGACCAAAGTGAATCCAGGGACAGTCGGGGTTGCAAGCGATGCTCCGGCCAGAACGCCGGGCCTCGACGGAGAAGCAATTGAAACACGTCCTCCGGGCCGTCTAGTGCTCGATCGATGGCACTTTTGCCATAGACATCCACGGCCAGAAGATCGCTATCGGAGTCGAGAAGTAGCTCAATCAATGATACACAGCCGCAGGCAACGGCGTTGTGGAATGGAGTGACGCCCCGGAGATTAGGGGCGAGGATGTCATTGCACGATTCTGCCCCCGCCTCTAAGAGAAGCTTCACAACTTCCGTATGCCCTTGTTTACAAGCCAGGTTCAAAGCTGTATCGCCGGTGGAGGTCCTCTCGAAAGGGTCGGCATGGTGAGCAAGCAAGAACTCCACGATGGGGATGTATCCCTGCCAAGAGGCTAAGTGCAACACGGTATAGCCCTGCGCGCCGGGCGTGTTGATATCGCCCTTAGCGCTGGTGATACTAGAGATGAAAATCCTCGAAAAGTCTGTCAGGCCGTGAATGACGACCATTTCAAACGGAGATGCCCCATCCGCGTGACTTGTAAAAACGTCCGCACCCTGCTTAAGTAAGTGCGCCGTTACGTCTAGATGACCCCCACGGACCGCCATATGCAATGGTGTCTGACAGTATCGATCGACTGCGTTGATATCTGCCCCAAGGTCTGATAGAGCTTGAACGACATCAAGGTGGCCCTGATACGCCGCTAGATGCAGAGGAATGACTCCATCCTCGTTCTTTGCATTGACGTCCGCCCCTTGGCGAATAAGGATGTCAAGCAGGTGCAAATTACCTGCTCCTGCAAAGTGGTGTACCAGCGTAGAGCAATTTTGGCCCAGAAAAGTATGGGTTGGGACTCGAGTAAAGTAATCAACTGCATACTGCGATGTCCAGGTCTTGATGCTACTCCAGGAAGAGCGGTAGGTGACAGGGCTGGCACAATAGAGTTGGATCCATTTAGTATAAAGCTGCGGGTACAACAGCAGCGCAAACCTCTTTGCAGAGCTAGTCAGTGCGGCGAGAGATTTGGGGCCGAGGAAATTCCCCAGATACAAAATAAGCTCGGGAGGAAGACTATCCAGACTCATACTGACCGGTGAAAGGAAACGAAAGATCAGGAAGGAAAAGCCCCTGCTGAACTTATAAGTGGAGGGGGCTGGCTTCATGGAATGTCCCGTAATGCAGGCTTGCAGGCTTGCTGCTGGTCCCCTTGCGCATGGAAGACCCCATGGTGAATTGTCATTGGGCTAGTTTGCAGCGAAGGAGATGAATACGACCATCTTGGCATATTGTGCTTCCACCGAGATCAAGGAAAGGCTTGATGCGCATGGAAGAGAAGCCATTTTTAGAGGGTCACATGGCATTGATGCTTCAACAAGCTTCGTGATGGTAAGCTTCCGGGAGAGGCGTCCCTTGAAATCATGTGACCATTCTATCTGTACCGATGCTCTCACATATTTGGTAGTTATGATAAACACAGCCCGCGGCTTGAGTTTATGATGAAGTTATCCGCGAAAAGCATCCGTCTTGCTGATTGGCTGTTGTTGATTGTATCTTGGTGCAGTGATTGACTGGACATAGTCCGTCTCATATGCTGATTTGCCAGGCAGCCTTACATTCTGGCGTGCGGAAAGGGCTCTCAGTGGCCCCTTTGTCCTTCTCTTATCCTCGTTTGTCTCGTCAACTGGGCGTGCTCTGTACCCAAGTCGGACGGCACGGGCAGGCAGCAGGCTTGAACCGTGGGTGCATACGTACACACACGTCCGTAGTGCATGCATCTCTCCGAAGGGTGGGTGGATGACCCCCATGCTCTTGTGTAGCATCTCCCATCAGTCAATGTCTAAATCAGACTGAGAGCCAGTGTCTGAGACGTGGACCCGTTGGTTTACCACTGACTAGTGCGGTTGTGGTGGAGCAGCGGTGAGTGTTGCTTTGGAAGCATCTAGATCCCTCCGGACGAGTTGGTTTGGCTTCCCCGACTTCCCCTTTGTCGGGGAACAACCCTCCGCTCAATTATCGGCTCATCTGTTCTTTCGTTCCGAGAAATGGGGATTGTAAAGTGAAAGAGTCGAATGAAATCATCGGGATCATATGTGCCTTACTCTCCGACTGAGTGTCGTGATCAGCCTCCTGCTGGGGAGATCCAGGGACAGATGGGATCTGGAGACAGGAACAGGAACGAAGGAATCAGACGACGCGGAGAGCATGGAGGAAAGGAAAAGAAGCCAGTCAAACAAGGCAGGGCTAGAGAAAGTGGAGTTGAAAGTGAAGCCATGAAGTCACTTGGTGGGGGGGGGAAGTTCTTTAAGTTGGGTTAAGTTGAGAAACTTGGGATGAGTTGGGTTTAGTGTTGAGTTTCGGCACGGGATGAAGTCATGCCACCAGAATCCCGAAGTACTGTGTACTTTCCCGATACCTGGCCGTCACTGTTCCGAACTTAGTCCTGCCGAGTACCGAGAGGTACTGTCTACACAGTACACAGTACAGTAATGTCCGGGAGTTTGTATGTCTCTCAATCAATTTGTTTGTATGCCAAACTGCCCGTCGGATTGTCAAAATGGACGGTCATGCTGGGCCGATGTGCTGTAGCTTTTCTGGGGTCAGGGATAGATGGGCATTTTGCCCGTACTGCTGTTCTCTCGATTGGTCTCAACCTACCAGACCTCACACACACCCTGTCAGCCCATGCATGAGACCGGGATGAAAGAAACCACCATCCGTCCGTACAGTACAGACAAACAGACAGTCTGTCTTGGCTTCAATCGGGCAATGCACTGGCAATCTCCTGTCCCCACTCTCTATACTCCTTGTCCCTGCTCTGACTTCATTTTCCATCCCCAGTCTTTGACCCCTCAATCCTCCATTGACTTTTCGCCTGTATTCAAATAGCCTCAACTTCCCCTTCGATCATGGCTCATTCTTCATCTCATCTTTTTCTTCCTCTCTCCATCATCCATCTTCACAGATACACATCTGATCGCTCCCTCTTTCCTTCTATACCCTTTCTTCATCCTGTAGGTCACTTCTTGTCCTGTCAGTGATCGGTCAGCCTGGCCAACTTGACTAACATCTCGACAGCATATCTCACATCAATCAACATGGCTGCTAACCTCCCCAAGACCATGAAGGCCCTCCGGTAGGTCCTTAACGGTTCTCCTTCGTTGAATATCCTTTCAAATAATGCTGATCCAATCCTAGCTATGAGGAGCCCCTGAAGCACGGCATCGCCGAGGTTCCTCTGCCCACTATTCGTGATAACGATGTCTTGGTAAGCCTTACAGACATTGAGTGTGCCAGACCTCGACTGACACGCAACAGATCAAGGTAAAGGCCTGCGGTGTCTGCGGTACCGACTTGCACATCCACGAGGGTGAATTCATTGCCAAGTTCCCTCTCGTCCCCGGCCACGAGACGGTGGGTGTTGTGGCCGCCGTCGGCTCCAAGGTCAAGGGCTTCGAGATTGGTGAGCGTGTGGTGGCCGACAACTCTGAGCTTTGCGGCGAGTGCTTCTACTGCCGTCGGGGAGACGAGCTGTTCTGTGAGAACTTCCAGGCTCACGGCGTCACCATGAACGGTGGCTTTGCTGAGTACTGCGCCTACCCTGGTATGCTCGTCCAGTTTTCTGATCCCACGGCATTGGCTAACACAGCGTAGCTGGCAGGGTGTTCAAGATCAAGAACCTCTCGGACGTCGACGCCACTCTCCTGGAGCCCGCTTCCTGCGCCGCGCACGGTCTCGACAAGATCGCCCCGAAGATGGGCTCGTCCGTTCTCTTGTTCGGTGCTGGCCCCACTGGTCTGGTAGGTGTCTCGCTTTTCTATTTCAATCGAATCCGGCTGACCTCTTGCAGATTCTGGCTCAGTTGCTCCGTCAATGCGGTGGCTGCCGTGTCGTTGTTGCTGCCCCTGAGGGTCTCAAGATGGATCTGGCCAAGTCGCTCGAGGCTGGTGATGAGTATATTGCTCTGTCCCGCAGCGACCCCAGCGCCCAGTTCCAGAAGCTCAAGGACGAGAACCCCTATGGCTTCGACATTGTCGTTGAGGCTACCGGTAGCGTCAAGATTCTGGAAGACTCGATCAATTATGTCCGCCGCGGTGGTAAGCTTGTCGTGTACGGCGTGTACTCCAACAAGGACCGTGTCTCTTGGCCTCCTAGCAAGATTTGTAAGACTTTTTGCCTGTTTTGTCTCCAGTAGTGTGTGCAGATGCTAATGCTTCATAGTCGGCGACGAGATCACCATCCTGGGTAGTTTCTCCGAGGTATACAAGTTCCCTGCTGCCATTGACTACTTGGACTCTGGCAAGGTCAAGGTCAAGGGCATTGTCAACAAGGTGTTCAAGATTGAGGAGTGGGAGCAGTGCTTGGAGAGCATGAAGAACAAGTCTGCCATCAAGGCGGCTATCACTTTTGAATAGTTTAGCATAGCTGGCTGTGCTTCTACGTAATGATTAACGAATGGATATGTATGATATACTCGTGTGCTCGTCGACGACGGATTCAGTAGCTTTGATGATCTTTGGATGCTGTGGGAGGTGTTGTAGTATTTATAGAGTAGCTGGTGGGTCGGCGTCACCAAGGTCCCTACCCTACCTGCATCAGAGTGACCTCAATTATGACCTGTCAGTCAATGAACTTCCTAGTTCAGTATTATGTCAAATGACCAACTCACTGTTTTGCATCGACTAACGTTAGCATTTGTCCATCCAAACGTGTATAAATCGTCTCTAAACCCGTCAAGCACAGCTCAAGTGGATCCACCTCTCTTATCGATAAGCAACTCCAACCCGTCACCTTCTCTCTTTCTCTCGCTCTCTCGCATGCACTGCATCTTTCTTCTCACTTTCTGACCCAGCTCAAGCCTCCGATTTCCCTTTCAACTTCCACACTCGCCCCTCTCAAACATACCCCTCCATCGCCCCAGTACCTCGAAGATATGGTCAAACCCCTAACCTTCAAAGGCGACAAGCCTCACAAATCCAAGAAGCGCAAAGCCGACACCTCCCTCCCGAGCAGCACCGCCAAAAAGCCCTCTTCAACACACCCAGCATCCGAATACTCCGGCGCCAATGATGTGGTGGTGGCCGCCGCCGCCGCCGACCACGATGAGGACGAGAACCCTGAAGACCAATCGTGGGTCTCCGCTGACGTGCCCTCCGACATCGCCGGCCCGATCCTCCTCGTCCTCGCCAGCCAACCGCCGACCTGCATCGCCAGCGACGCGCACGGGAACGTGTTCGCCTCGGAGCTCGAGAATCTTATAGACGGGGACCCCAGTACGGCGGAACCGCACGATGTGAGGCAGGTGTGGGTGGCGACGAAAGTGGCGGGCGTGGAGGGGTGGAGTTTTAAGGGGTCGCATGGACGGTATGTTTTTTTCTTCTGCGTCATATGAGTTCGCCCTGCTGCTACGTGTGGCGGGGTTGGTTCGAAGCGGGTGGGGGAGGGAGGTCTGCGGAGCTGGGGTGTTTGAGATATGGATTGTGCTAATGTGTGATCGTGCCCGCCAAAAATAGGTATCTATCGAGCGACAAACACGGTATCCTGAGCGCAACCTCCTCCGCCGTATCCCATTACGAAACCTTCAATGTCCATTCCGCCGCAGTGCCGCGCACGTTCTCCATTCAGACGGGCACCAGCGAGTCCGAAGAGAGCACCTTCATCAGTGTGGCGGAGGTAGCCTCGAAGACGACGGCGTCTGGGGTGAAGCTCGAGGTGCGCGGGGATACGGGGACGCTGTCGGCGGATACCAACGTCCGGATACGGATGCAGGCCCGGTTCAAGCCCAAGATCAAGGCGAGTAAGGAGGTCAAGGCGCGGGAGAAGGTCAGTCGGAAGGAGTTGGAGGGGATTGTGGGGAGGCGGCTGGAGGAGGATGAGGTGCGGAGGCTGCGAAAGGCGAGGAGGGAGGGCGACTTCCATGAGGTGGTGCTGGATGTGAGGGTGAGGGGCAAGCATGATAAGTTTGCTTGAGCCTTCTTTTCTGGGTTTGCTCAGAATGTATGAGATATGGTTGGAGCTATAATTATATATCAGATCAATCTGCATATTTGCATATATCCTGCTTTTGGTTTGTCAATGCCGTCGCTGTGGTATATGAATTTTGATTATAGGCTGTCTTCATTTACTATGGAAATGGACTTTGATGCCAGTGTGGCTTGGTCGTTCATGATGAAAAGAAGACTCCTTTGTGCTTGTATAGACATGGGTGGATTGAATATGGTACAGATTCATTATACATATACATATACACGGGTCTATTCTTTCTTGGCAAAGAGATCCCGCCAGAATTGCTTAAATCCATAGCCCTTCGAATGGTCCTCTTCGTACACCCGCACCGTATTCGAGGTACTCAGAGACTCCAGGATGCTAGCAGCTTTGGGCCCGTCCATAGCCGGTCCTCGAGCCCGCTCAGTTGCTCGTCTTTTGATCTCCTCCGCCAGACCAGGAGCTACTTCAGTATAACAAGCGTTCAGCTCCCGCTCGAGGTTAAGATACGGCTTTTGCGCCACCGGTGGAGCCATTAAATTGTAGGACCGTGTTTGAGCGTTCAGATTCTTGACCGTGAGTTCCAGGAACGAGCGCTCGGTATTGAGATACTGCGGGTCACGGAGCGGCGAGACATGCGGCAACGGCTCTTTATCTGGAATCTCGTCGGCTAGTGCTTCAGTCGTACTCGCATCAAAATAGTCCTGCTCTTCACCACTACTCCCGCTGCTGCCGCTGCTGCTGCTGCTGCTGCTGGGGTCTTTAAAAGCTTGCTCGATCTTGGCCCGTTCGGCCAAGCGAGCCTCCGCCGCGGCATACGCCTGCGCCCGACGCATCTGCGCCTCCAGTGACCCTCCCTCACTGGCAATCAGTCGGGCAGCGTGCCGTCGCCACTCAGCCCTCAGCCGGGACCGGAACCGATCGACCTCCCTCGCCAGATCCTGTTGCTTTTCAATCCAGGGCGGCACGATCTCCTGTTTCTGGATTATCTTGTTCATGAAGTACTCCGTCGTGTCGATAAAGGGACTATTCGCATTATGATCAGTGGTCACGTTCACCCCTTTGCCCCTTTTGATCTTGTTGAATTGCCCGCGCGCGATCGCATCCTCGATCCGCTCATTCGCCAACGCCGTCAGTCCTTGCAAGGTGGCCGGCATCGGCCTGGCCCCGGGCGAGAACCGCTCCCTCATCTCCCGACGCATCGCCTCTCGCTCTTCCTCCGACGGCCCCGAGCTTTGCGCCTTAGTGTATGTTGCCGTGCGCTCCTTCGCCCTGGCGAGCCGCAAGCCGGCCGACTCGTTGGGCTTGGGCTTTATCCGCATGTCGACGGGGTTGGGGATCTTGAAGGGCGTGCGCATCGGTTTGATCGAGCTATCCAGCATGCGTAGGGTGACGTCGTGGAGGTTTTCCGTGCCGGTCCAGGGCTCCGCACCGGCGATGTCTCGTGTGCCTTGTCCAGCGCTAGCCTGTACAGCAATAACATTTCTTCGTATTAGCAATAGCACACTTCACGATCCCCGTTAAACTGTAAAGTAACAAAAAAGGATGCAAGACTATACCGGCGTGTTGACTGTAGCATGCGCACTCGCATACTCGCTCTGGAAAGCCGCCGCCGCCACCCGTCCCTCCAGCTGTTTCTTCAACTCCTCCGAAAACCCGGCGGACTCGAGATTCTTGCGTGCGGATCGACCGCCTTCGAGCATAGCTTCCTCGGTCATCTCGGACAGTCGACGAGCCATGGCCCCTTGCTCCGGGGACTTCTCATTTTGGGGTTCGCTGCTATTGCTGCTGCTGCGGTCATCGCTCTGTTTCGCGGTTGCCGCATCTTGCCGCCCCCGCGCACTGCTGCCGGAAAGACATCGGAACGTCGAAGGGGAGGGCTGAATGTGGCGCGTCGTCCGCGGCGCAACAAGAGAATTCACGTATAAGGTGCACGCATGCCTTTTGCTCATCCTTGTTCGTGTTAGCGATCCTACAATGCTGAGCGTTGGATGTTGTATTCGCAAGCATCGCACCTAGCTTCTTATCAGCCAGCGAACGCCGCTGCCGCCGGCGGGATTATGTCAGCGCGTCTCTATGCATTGCAAACCTCCGCGGGCAAAATTGTCCAAAAGTCTTGGCAAGATTGATTGCCCTTCCCTTTTCGACCCGGTAGCATATTCGACTTTGGCATTGAGCTTTGTCGCATCAACGATCCCTACGTTCGCTCTTCTCCTCACAATACCGGTTGGTCTCGAGCACGATATAGACTTTACACACCTTATTAAAAACAAAGCCGCCAACCATGACTGCCTCCACCCGCCTCACCCCCATCCGTCTCCAGACCATCAACCACCTGCGCGTCCGGAGACCCAACAAGAACGAGCCCAATGGCTGTGTCAATGTCATGTCCGCGATGCTGAGTAGGTCTTGCTCATTATTCATCACCTAGGAAGAATTCCCGCAGATCTGGCCTGAGTCCGAGTCCTCAGGGCCCTTCATCTCCAAGCCTTCGAGATTCGCTATGACCAGACAAACAGACTTCGGCCCTCCCCCACCTTCAAGAAAAATATCTCAGCTAACATTCCCATTCAATCAGGTTGCTGGGCTTCTGCCGGTGGTTCCGTTGAGGGTTGCGCAGCCTTGGAACAGCAATTGAGACAGTGCATGGATGCTCCTGTACGTTTTCCCTTGTCTTATTTTCCGGGTGTCTTGTTTCGCCCCTCCGTTCTTCCCCCAACTCTCCCTCTCCAAACATGCCCCTCTGATTTATCAAGATGAGAGAGGTGCTGGGCTAACGCTGTATTCGCACAAAACCACAGAAACCCAAACGCCAGGGCCGCAGCACCATCAACTACCACCTCATGAGAATGTTCCCCAACGTCCGTGGACCGCAGAAGAAGGATGGTGTTTTGGGTTAAGAAGAGAAGCGGAAAGCTTCTGGTTTTGTTTCTGGGTTCTTTTCGATGTGTTTGGGAGCGAAGAGCGAAGTTCAAGTTGAGCATTAAAGGTCCCGCTGTGGTTGGGAAGGGGTCTGGGCGGCCTAGGTTCGGGTTGCTTATGGCTACATACGTTCTGCTGTGCTGGGATGCAGGCGATTGGATGTAGGTCAGGGCAGGATCCCGAGCTCCGGTGCTGATTCGGGTGCATAGGACAGGTCGGGCTGAATCAGGGCATATGGGCTTGCAGCTGGCGGCCGCGGCCGGCGATTGAACATACTGTATTCTATTGTGCTAACTGGAGTTTTCTTTTTTTATGGTTCAAAAGATACGTTTGAAGTGTTTGTGATAGCGATTAGTGCGTAGTTGGGGTCTTGCGGCTGAATTTCTGTAGTAACCAGGTTGAAGGCTTCTGCACTTTTGATGGATCACCGGTGACTACGCGGTTGCAATTATGGTGTGGTGTTGTTTACTCCGACTGCGATGTTACTGGGCACGGGGAATAACTGTTATATAGCGTATATTCATGAATAATGGGTCAAACAATGGAGTAATCTGATCTATCAGGCATTTTCGAACCGCAAGATCAGCTTCTCGCCTCGAGGTTTGACAGTGTAAGCATCGATCGCCTCAATGTCATCGTCATCAACGATAAAGGTCTTGAAGTTCGTGTAGATGGCTGCCACGGCCAGTTTCATTTCTGACGCGGATTCGTTAGACAAGCACCGCCCAGATTACAGAACAAAGGACTCACCTTGCAGGGCTAAATTGCTACCCACGCACATCCGTCCCCCGCTGCCAAAAGCCCAAAACCACCGTCTGCGCTCCTCCAGCTCGGCGGCCGAGTTTTGGTCTTTAAGCCACCGCTTCGGTTCCCATGATTCAGGCTCGGGGTAGACCGTGGGGTTGCGGTGCAGCGAATAGGCTTGCGCATTCACCCGAGTGTTTGCGGGAATATCGCTGTAGCCTGCAAGCGTGCAGCTTGGAGAGGGCGTCACGCGTGGCTGGATCCCTGGGATCGGCGCATGCAGGCGCAATGTCTCCGTAACGATGGCTTCGAGGAGAGGTAATGCGTCAATCGATTTGGGAGACGGGAGTTCTCGGGAGGAATCAGACCGGGGATAGGTGAGTCTTGGCTCAAGAGTCAGGAGCTCCTTGCGGAGCTCTTCCTGCAGCTCGGGGTGCTTGGAAAGCTCCCAGAAGAGGTAGGTCAGAGCCACGGCACTAGTCTCATGGCCAGCTGTGAGATGATCGTACAGCTCACAGGCAATCTCGCACTTCTGTTTCTCGGGGTCTTCGTCTGGCAATCCAGTAGCCTTCTGCTGCTTGAGGATACCTTGCTTGAGCTGTTTGTATACCATCGGTTCAGTTTCCAGCCTGGTCGACGCCATGCATTCGTCGGCCTTATCGCAGAAACCTAGCCCCCATGCGTCCAGTACCTCGTTGGCCTCATCGCACCATTTAGGAATGAGGCGGAGTCCGATCTTCTTTGTCCATGCCAACAAGTCAGGGACTTCTTGGTGGTAAAATTCGAACGGTTTTCTGCATTGGTAAAGGTGCAGCATCCTGCGGCGGAAGGCCTCATCTTGAAGAAAGTTCGACCCATTGGCCAACCCGTAGAGATACGAGGATACGAAGTCCATGGTCAATCCTTGGTTCAGATCGTGCATGTCCACCAGGGCATTATCTGACACTGCCTTGTAGATTAGAGGCAGAAAGCGGTCAAGCATGATCGTTTCAGAGATCAGGTGGATGTGTGGTGATGATTGCAGGAACGACTTGCTGTAGATGTTGGACAGCAGCCTTTTGCGGCTCGAGTGTGCCTTGTTATCGGTCATGGTGAACATGCTTACGGTTCTAGGTGCTCCTGTTAGTACTTCGACGATGATGAGGGCCTTGTAATGACCTCACCCAAAAGACCCGAATACACGTGGGTACCATTCATGTTTCTCGAAGCCGCCAGTGTATACACTTTTGATGCCGCCATCAACGCAATTAATTGAGATCTCGGAAGGTCCAAGTCTCACAATAGGCCCATGCTTCTCATGAGCTGCCTGGATGGTTCGATTGTTCAGGGCTCGATATCTTTTCCAGATAATCCAAGCGGGAGATATGGGTGCTGTCCAATGTGCGTTGGGGATTTTGGACAACGGTGATAGGAATGCCGGATATATGATTAGTTTGTAGGCCAACACGAGGACGCAGGTGAGGGCCGCGACGGTAGTGACAGCAGAAACCGCCATGATGCTGTGGGAATCCAGATGCAAGTGTAGGTCGTGCTGGACGTTTGCAGCGTCCTCCAGTAATGGTCTGTGACTGCACCTCGGCAAACAAGATTTGCGCAAGTAGATCGGCTATTTGGCCGGTATACTGAGTAGTATGGAAGCTATCAAGCGCAAAAGTCTTACCTTGCGCCTAATCCTTGAATAGTCCTTTGACAGTACTGTAAGAGCCCGAAAAGTATACCATTTCAAGATCCTTCCAGGCAAGCAAGCTGAGACCAGAGCAGGTACAGCATGACTCACTTGGAGACAGACAAAGCTTCTTTAAGCGGGGAAAGACGCATCAGTGCTGCGATAAGACAATGTAGCCAAAGATAAGAGCCTGTGGATGACTGCTTGCTGACATAAGTCATCCAGTAGAGTCACATGTTTATTCTTGGATGGAATTATTGGCTCTGCGCTCTTCTTCTAGGTCAAGCGATAGTATATTTTACTCAATTCATGAGTCAATCTTACATGCTGTTATAAATCGAGTTGTTTGTTCCCAGTTCTGACTGGAGCTCGTCAAGCTTGGCAACATGCAGAATGATTTGCGCATTGGGCTGAGATATCCCTTCTAGGCCTGTGAAGGAATAACTACTACTTACCCGTGATTTTTTCCATTCCACAGCATGTCCATCGCGGTAGGATATAACAAATCCACTCGGTAGGACCAGGAATAATCACTTCGGTCTCTCCTATGAAGTGAGTATTATGATGTTCTTACTGCGCAGCAACAAGCATAGCTGACTCCGTGGCAAAGAATATTGCATTACACCATACGTCATTTCTGGCCCTGACCTGCCTGGGAACCGCAAAACGCATTGGTGTATCAACACCAATTTGCGGCTTCTTCACACCACATCATGTTAGAAAATCTGCCTGCTGAGATTCTCTACCTCATTGCATGCCACTTGCCGACCGTCAATGCATTGGTGCAGCTCTCTCGGACCAGCAGACGTCTGCATGAAACCATCGCCGTTGATAATTGGCGGATCTTTCGTGCCTTTGTACAGAAACAGTTCCCCGGTTCGAAGATCCCAGATTTCTGGAGGGAAGCAGCTCACTCGCTCACGTCTCGCTCGCGAGCCTTGGACAAACATGCCGTCCTAGGTAGGTTTGTCTTTCCGCCCCAGGCAACCAGAATCGGATCTGAAAAAGCGATCCGGGGTGACAGGCCTACGCTTGGCTACCGCCCCGCCCTGGACACATACGAGACATGGAACGGTTCAGCGTGGAATGACCGCCGAGAAGTCCTTGCTTGGGGTGCAGCAGACGAAATCTTCCTGCGCGTCAAGCATACAGGTTCGAAACCCCATGAGCAATGGATTATCTTCAGTGATCTCGAGCATATCAGCAGTGTAGACGACATTTGCGGCCTACACCTTTTGAAACCAAACCATCCGGCCTATGAAGAAGGCAAGGAGCATCTGATCTTCGCTCGCGCTCGGGGTGAATTGCATCATCTCGCGATCACGATCGACGAGCCCTCGCATAATTACCAGCAAGTATTCGAAACGTATGGCTTGGGCATTGAGCGCACCGACTTGAGCAACGGGGAGGAGCCGATACTCGCAGCGCACTGGAACAACGGAACCATCGCGCTGTATAACACGATGTCAAAGAGCTCGAGAGTTTCGGAATTTGCGCGTCTTCAGATCGACCCGGCGAAGAGAGCCCGGAATCGATACTCCAAATTCCTCTCATCTGATCTTCTTGCCATCGGAACAGGGCGCATCGACGATGCAATCACAATCTCCTCTATCACCAGTGAGCGTGTATCGCTCGACCGACAAATCAGCCTGAACCTGGTCGACTATGACAGACTCGATTCCTCTACGGCGATCAAGTCAGACGTCAACGCCATCGCACCTTTAAGCACCACCGGACAGGTCTTTCTCGCAGGATGGGGCGATCGAGCCGTCAGGTGAGCACTCATTCCCCTTCAAACACTTACCCCCCCACCATTTGACTCCTTGACCCAGACTCCACGACCTGCGGTCCAACAAAGAGCACGAGCTGACCTACCGCGACCCCACCGACGACAATCCGATCTACTGCATCCAACCCTTCACCCACAACCGCTTCGTAGTCGGCTCCGGCGGCGAAGCCCTTGTCAAGATTTTCGACCTCCGCATGGACCGCGGCTACAGCTACCTTGACGCAAAGCCCACGATGCGGAGCTTCACACCTCGCTCCCGACGAACCACTCCCACCACCTCTACCAAGTCCCTCGACAACCAACTCCGCCACCTAACTCTCAACTCCCCCAACGGCATCACCAACCACCACCCCCGCAAGGAGATGTCCATATACCTCTCCCACCCGGCCCCGACCACCTACCACCAAGCCCGCAGCCAGCACCACCGCCCCTACCGCGGCGCCATCTACACCATGAGCTCCCCCTCCCCCAGTTCCCCGACCATCTACACCGGCGTCGCCGACGGCGTGATGCGCCTGGACTTCGTCGCGACCGACGACCTCACCACCGGCGCGGACTGCGCCTGGTTCGCGGGCCCGCTCTGCCTCAACCTGTCCTCGTCCTCAACGACCCAACCCTCGCGTCATCACCGTCGTCGTCATCACGCCGCGGACCGCATCCTCGATCTATCGGGGTACGAGCGTCCCGATCCCGCGAACAGCACCGCGGTCGTCCGGCTGCGGACGCAACAGCCGTTCGACGCAGTCACGGACGAGGACGTTGAGGATGAGCTTGCGACCGGCTGGGATCGTCGGTGGACGCAATTGAGGGATTTCAGCTCCTGGCGACGGGCTGTATGATCCGAGGGGGGTGGGGTTCAGCAGGGTCCTTGAATGCGCGTCATGCGGATTGAGTTTCCGGTTAAGGAGAGGGGACTCTGGTAACAGGATTACATACACCTTAGGGTAAAAGGTAAATTTTCCTTTTGTTTGTTTCGCTTGCTGTACAGTCAAACAGCAAGAACTACATGGATAGACTGGATGAGCTCAGGGAGTTGGAAAGAACAAGCCATCATAGATACTGTAGGTAGACGTTGACCGAGTTCGTTCTTTTGGTTGCTGAAAAATCAGCAGAAGACGGTTTTAGATACAATTGGGGGGGGGGAAGGCAATCAGAAATGACGTTGATTCAGAAAAAA